AAAAAAGTAAAGTAAAAAATGGGGGGGGGTAGGGGTGGCGGATATTTATCTTATTTTAGCACTTGGATGCCATCGGCATGTAAAATGCATCACGAATCACCTACTGGAATGTAACTCATTCTAAAATTGAAACTGTCAAGACCAGGAAGTCCCAGAACACTTACAAAGAGGGTAGGTTAAGAAGAACCAAAAAAACAAAAAAAAACAAAACAAACAAAAAAAACACCCAGAAGTGTGGGTGCCACGTAACAACATAAACAAGAGGACCTCGTCTCCAGGCTATGTATAATAACACCACCCCCCCAAATTTCAGAGAGCTATGCAATTCCAACTCGGGCTCTAACCCTGGAGCCCCCCGGGGCTTCAACCCTGCGCCAGGTCAGCTGACTCTCAGTGGAACTGCAGCCTTGCTACACTGGGGTAAGGAGAGGGCGGCTTTTTTTTTTTTTCTTTTTTCCTTTCTCCTTCTTCTAGTAAAGCTATCATTCCAGGCTTTGAGCAAAGATCCAAGAATATCTGTCCTACCAGGCTGGAATGAGCGTGGTCCGGACGTTCAGAGTACGTTTAGAAGCTGCAACAGCATACAGGTAGCCAACATCTCAGAATTTTGGATCAGCCCAGATGGAGACAGCAATTTGAAATGCTTTCAATCCCTTACTCAAACGGTGAAACGTAAGTAAATCGTTATCAGCCCAGACAGAGCAATTTGAAATGTTTTCGATCCCTTACTCAAATGGTGAACCGTATACCGTACTATCTGTAAAATGGACACTCCATCGGTGACAGCGTACAGAATTCCCATGCGTCGTTACACTTTCCTGAGAGTAAAGCAATTAGAATAACCTTAATCCTAGCAACAAAGTTTTTTTGTGTTTTTTGTTTTGTTTTGTTTTTTTGTAGGGTTTTTTTAAAATTTTATTTTATTTTTTTGCATTTAAAACGTTTGGGCTAGTCCCTGACGATCTATACATGTAAATTTGATTGCTAAACATTGTCACTTTGAATGTCAAACTATTTTTAATCTATTGATTTTTTTTGATTAAAAATCATAATAGAAACAGAGCTAAAATCACGCTAACAAAATAAACTAAATATGAAAAGTTGCATTGAAAGGCATTACATTATTCTTAACAGGATCGTGTACAAACATTCCAATGGCAGTGTTCTCAACAACAAAACAAAACTACATCAGAAGACCTCCAGCCTGGGTCACTCGGGGGCCCTTACCTGTAACTCTGGCTGGTGGGGGTCTTGACTCTTGTACTACATGGCTCACTCACATCAGACATCATGTTTGTGTACCCTGAGAAATCTGACACTGAAGTCCTGACTCTATGGTCCACTTCACCATTAGAGTTACTGACAAAGGTCATTGGCACCCTGCTGCCCGACTTAAACTGAGAACCGAACGCTTGTGCAAAGTTCTCAATCTGGTACGTTGTTCTAGGCTCTACGTCTTTCTGAGGATCTATCTGGCTGGCTAACTCCTGAGACGGAATCTGAAAGCTGGTTGAGGACTCTAAGTTCTTCTGCTGTTCCTTCTGGCTGGTCAGTTTCTGAGATGAGGACTGGAAGGCCGAGGAAGTCTCTAAATTCTTCTGGGAATCGATCAGGTCATCTAGCTCCTGGGAGGGCGTCAACTGCTGATGGGTGGCATCCAGAGCAGACAGATACAGACCTGGCTGAGACCCGAACAACATCCCAAAGGGAGGCTTTGGCAATGAAGACGGCAACACTGAGGTAACAGACTGGCCGAAACCACACTCCAGAGGAGATGTAGTGTAAATCTGTTTTTCCGGGAACAAAGTGTGGTTGTGGAGAGGTGAGGACAGACTGACAAACTGGAAACCGTGTCCAAGAGTAAAACCTGCATTAGTGGATTTTTCAAACGCCTGCTGGAGGTATTTGGAGTATTCTTGCAACATGCTCGCCTTGTCGCTGGACGGGGTCTGGGTGCCCGGGCTCAAGTTCTCCTCTTGAACCAACTCCGAGTGCTCTCCTGAGGTGTGTAAATCCACTCGGGGCTCGGTTATGTTGAAAGGATCCTCCTTCTGGCTCTCCGACTTGTTGGAGTACTGATCCAAAATACTCTGCAAGACCTCGTCAGGAATGCCGGACTTGTCGTGACAAGACTTGATGTCAGCGTTCAGCGCCGAGGAGTCAATCAGCGACAGCGGGGCGTCGCTGTCCAGAACGCTGACCCCCGCGGCCTGGATGACGGACGGCTGGGAGACCATGTGTCCCACGTTGATCGAGAAGGCACTGTTGCTGGTGGCGGTGGGCAGGTATCTCCTTTTCTTGGAAAACTGCATGGCGTCGTCGTAATTGCTGTTCATCGGGCCTTGCTTGCCACCGGCGCCCTGGAGGAGGCCGATGGTCTCCGCGCTGGCATTCGACGCTATGCCAAGGGAGCCGCCGGGCTTCCCGGACAGAGGCTTCTGCCCGACGAGGTCCGGCAACGGCGACACGAAGTTAAGGTAGCTCTTGTCTGTGTTCTTCCTGCTCCCTTTCTTGAAGATCAGTTTTGGCACCCTTTTCTGAAGCTCGTCGATCCCGCTGCCCAGGAGGCCGCCGGAAGACAGAGCGGGCATCTCCACGGAGTAGGTCTGCATGCTGATGCTGTTTGCAAGCGGCGACTCGCCCGCCTTGCCAGCCTTGTGTTCCTTGTTCTCCACGGCCGCGCTTTTCGACTTGGATTTCCTCCTGGAAGAGCTGCTGTTTCCCTGAGACAGCGCGGCCAGGTTCCCCGCGCTGCTGTGGTTGGACGCGCCGGGCTCCGCGCTCGCGGCCCCCTTGGCTATGGCTTCGCCACAGGTGCGCCTGTGTTTCAGCAGCCTGTCGGTCCTGGAAAAATACTGCTGGCAAGTGTCACACTTGTATGGCTTTTCTCCGCTGTGCGTCCTCTTGTGTCTCTCCATGTGGTACTTCTGGATGAACTTCATGCTGCACTGGTCGCAGCCGAAGGGCTTCTCGCGGCTGTGGATCTTCTCGTGGCGCTGCAGCAGGTACTTCTGGATGAAGCCCATGCTGCACTGGCTGCACTGGAAGGGCCGCTCGCCCGTGTGGATGAGCACGTGCCGGCGCAGGTGGTAGGAGCTGCGGAAGGCCGCGCTGCAGTGGTCGCACACGTGCGGCTTCTGGCTCGGCGACAGCCCCG